GTATACATATAAGAAAATTGTTCTTACTTGAAAGCAATGACTACAATGGCATTTATTCTCTCTTTAACAACATGGTCCTGGTGTGGAGAAGAAGTAATCATGCTTGCAACGAAGAGTCATGTATTGTCCACACAGTAGTCATGATGAGATGTGACAAGCACACAACGACAGCCCTGATGCTGCATACACATCATCAGAGAAGATTCTTTTAACCTCACCCCTTACCAGGATCTCCCCACACTATTCAAAGGGGCTCCTTTCTGCCTTTGTGACATGATGCTATTTAGATACTTATTTAAGTCCTAAAGACCAAACTGCTGAAGATAAGCAGTTCCTCTCCATAACCTGCCTCTGCCCACCACCATCTCTTTCTAGCAGGGAGGCAACACTGAATATGAACATGTTATCATTTTGTTATCAATTTATCCCAGGCACTGCACTATTTCCTGAGCCTTTTCAAGTAGGCTTCCCTCTGTACCATAATTGTCAGCAAGTTTGTTCTGTGCTGGCCACCCTTCCTTTTGTTTCAGTCCTTTCATAAAAACCCTTTTGTGTGGCAGTCAAGCAGCTGTGCTTTGTTCTTTAATGTTTCTAGCCTGGATCCCCAGCCGAGATCACTTTATAACATAAACGGCAAAGTACCATTTTCACAGCAGGGACAACTGTGTTCATCTTCAAAAAGAGGCATTAATAAAATGAGCCTGTAATGAACATGCTAATTCTGATCGCAGCATAGCGCACAAAGGCACAGATTTCACTGCCACCTCCCTGAATGATGGGAAAGTTGTTCACGTTCCTTTTTTCTTAACAACATCTATAATGGCTTATGTTTTATTTTTTTTTTTTTGAACAGACATATTATGCAAACATTTCTCTCTGCTTTACAATGCAAAGCTGACTTGTCTCATCCAAACTACTCACTGTGTTTTACTATCTCAGTAACAGTCACCTTCCGGGAAAAAGATTTTTCCATCTTGCGAGAAATGACTTTCTGAACTAGGCATAACACTGACTCACAGAACAGTAGCCAAGGAGGGATCTGCCTGATCAGATCACCAAGCTAAGGCTTCTCTGTACAGGTGAGGTAAAGAAGAGAAAAAAGAGGCATAACTAAGAGAACAACGGCATGGACAGGTTAGGTAAAACACCATGGATACCTGTCACAGAGCTCAAACGACAGGAGGCTGGTCATAAGTACTCTGCATTGTCTAACACCTAAAGATGACCATTTCCAGTGTTGTATAAAAGTATCACCTACTGAACTACACTTATTAAACTTTGTAAATGGAATGCCTTGTGTTTGGCTGCTAATATATTAGACAGCAGCTGCCCTCTACTTGTCTTCTATGAAAAAGCTAGTTTCTCATAAGCAGACGAGGAAAGCAATGTGATGTTTACCATGCTTAGTTATGGTGATGCTGGTAGTGGTTTGAGAGGGAGCACTAATTGTATATGGGCAAAGGTCTAGAAATAATCCAGTAAATTTAAAAAAATGTCTATTTTGTGTAACTAGTTAGAATGAAATATAATTCCATACTTCCTCCCCCCCAAATGAATTCAAGAAACATGCATTATACGTAGTCCTGTTTGAAGGAAAATAATGACTCAGTAATTCTAGAACTTTATTATAGAGAAAGGGAATTTTGTGAGCAATAAGGAAGGATTCTTGACCCCTTTCCTCTAGCCATCAAAGCAGCAGATATTCTTAGATTTCTCAGTACTAAGAAGAGACTGCACAAAACCATTTCATTTGCCCAGCAGCTGATAGCACATCAGTAGAATGTTCTCTCTCTCTCTCTCTCTCTCTATATATATATATATATATATATATATATATATATATATATATATATATATTTCTATGTTTCCATGAAGAGATCAGGAAAAGCTCATAGGCAGTAAAGTCATATCCACAAAACCAATTTTATCTAGATGGCAATTCCTACACCTAAGATATACCTTCTGGTCCCTTGTATGCACCAACCTACAAGTCTAATATTTAATATGTCCAGTATTCCTCACTGGGTAAGTGTCAGTCCTCATGGAGCTCTTAGTGACCCCTGCAGCCTTCACTCATTGTCCACTCTGGAGGAACTGTATGTTTCTGGCGTTCATGCAAAGCCTGCTAAAGAGGCAGATAACTGAGCCAGGATGTGCTTATGCTTCCACAACCAAAAAAAAAAAAAACAAAAAACAAAAAACTGAAGGCGTTAATAATAATAATAAAACAATCTGAATGGCCACATTCAACCTATATGTCCCTCCCCTCTCTGGGAACTACATAGTACAGTACAGTATGCTTAACTTGATCAACTATCCAATATCTCATCCTAGGGCATGGTCAGGCTTGAACTTTAAGTTGAAATTTTTTTTTTTTGAGAGTCAGGACAATTTGAAAAAGCTACTGAGAGAAAGTGTCCCCAAAATGTTCCTTCTGTGCACATAGATGATCAGGGTATTATTATTATTATAGTGTTTTCTGCATTTAGCCAGCCAGGTCAGACATTTGGATATCCAATTACTTAGGTTCTCCCAGAGCCTGTTTGAAATAAATGAGTGCTCTCCATCTTTCCTACTTAGGCAAAAGCCATCATGACAGTTGGCACATTTTTGGCATTTGTCAGCAAAGTGGGAGGAAAATAAATGACCCATGTAGCTGCAATAGGCCTGTGATGAGGGCCACTGGACAGCAAGTATAAAGTGGTCTCCATCTCTTCCTGAGTGAATATCTGCCAACATGTTCAGCAAGAGAAAGTAAACTCAAGACGATCAGAAAGTTCATTAGCTGTAACTCAAACATATTCACCTTCCTTAACATTCCACAATGTTCTTAGCCCCAAAACACTAGTTTATTGCTGGCCTATTATAAAATTATTGTTGTTAATAGAATTATCAACACCTAAAAAAGTTAAAGAGGTGACTCTGGAGAGCAAAGATGATTCCATTCTCAATAGTTTAATGAAATGGCAACGGAAAAAAGAAATCCAAGGATGTGGCTACTCAACTTTTCTGTTATTCAATGTCACCTTTGAATTTACTCATAAGACATTTCATTTCCTGAACAATAAAATGCAGTTAGCTCTGAAAGCAGGGTAATATGTGTTACTATAATCATGTATTTCCATTCAAATGAATAACATATGACAGAGAGTCAGGCAGAAAGTCAAGATCATATTGAAGTTGTCAAATGCATTTGTTTACACAGTGATGAACTATTTAAAGCAGAGGAGACAGGAGTCCAGCCAGCCAGGAAACAGGAAAACTAATCTTTGTGAATTTCTAAGGAAAGCAATACTTTCTGCCAACATTTTGCTAATATGTTCATGAATAAATAAAGATTAAGTCAAGAAGATGGCATATATTATTTCCTGTCAAAGAACTAAAAAACATTTCCAATTAACTTTATTTTATTTTACCTTTGTAGTAGACTCTCTACTTACTAGAAGAACATATAGTTTTGGGAAGTTTAGAAGAATATCACAGATGAATCCAAGTTTTGCAGAGGTATAGATGTGGGAAGACTGAATCTTGGTTTTAGCTTTAGTTACAATCTGAGCACACATATAGATAGATTTTCATTCACCTAGATGTTCCATGGCATTAATACGCCACCTAAACACATATTAAATTAACATTTGTAACAATCTAAATTTTATTTTACAAGAATTTGTAGCTGCCTGGTGGATTTTATTCCTCCTTTTATCTTTGCAAATGTTTTTTTTTTTTAATTTTTAACTTTAAAAACCATTTATGTGGTTGATTTTGAGCACAGAAACATAGGACTTGTACCATCATTGCCTGAGCTTAATTATGGGTTGAAATTGGCTGGAATTCTGTAGAATTTGAAATTTAGAGTACATATGGTTATGAAAGACTGTCTTTATGGGTTAATCTGCAATGGACATATTCTCTGAAGTGGATGCTTTCATGGTCTCTTTCCTTAGTTTGGGACTCAGTTTTCAAAGCAACTTTTGGGTTAAACTTCTGGACTCTAAGAACAGAAGCACAGGAATATGGCCAGAAGCCTCTCTCTTACAGAGAGCTGATACACCTTTTTACTTGACCTCGCCTTTCACAGAGTTCAAATGGTAGTGCTGAATTCTATAATTCTTTAGCTCTCATCTTGGTTTCTATGTCTATAAAGTCCTCTTCTCTGGGGAATCTCCCCATGTACCACACCTAGAAATTCCTCTTTCTTATTTAACTTGTTTTCAAAATTGTATTACGAAACATCTATTGTAAGTTTTGTAAACAATCATTTCTGGGGCATAAAACAAGAAAAAGTTGTAACAGAGAGAGGGAGAGACAAAAGCACACAGAACATTAACATAATAATGTTGTTGACTAGCTATCCATTTAAACAATTTTCATATCTCTACTCAATAATCAGAGCAACTGGCCATATTTTACACTGCTGGGCTCCACAAAATAGACACATACTTTATCAGGTTGCATAAGTAACGAAAAGGAGGTGATACACCATCTTATTTTATTTTTCAAAGGATATTAACTTAAAAATGACTGAAATGAAAGGAGTATTTTGACATAAAAATGTGTATGTCTTATCCTTGGCTTTGACCAATTATTTTAGGAAATAAAGCTTATCTGTGCATAGTGTTGTTTCTTTAATTTTGTAGCTCTCAGTGTCACCTTGGGTCAGAAGTATGTACACGAAACAGTAGATATAGAAATTCTACAAGTGATGTTAACAAAGTGGCAAGCCATACATTTCCCCATCTAGATTTCCTTGCCAAATCAAAATGGCATCTGATATTTAAAACAAACACTTTCACTTTCATTTTCTCTCCTGATTAGTATACCTTCAAGAACCAAGAAGACATACACTGCCACACAGAACATTTGGCACGTCTCGACATTTTACTTAAACCCTTTTCTCCTATGATCACACAACACTCTTCTCTGAAAAGTCCTCTAGAAGAACACTTGACATAGAAAATTGCTGCAATGACACAACACTAACATTGAATTTGAGCACTTACCACGTAAAACTGTGAGTCTGGTGGACACACTTATTTCTCCGACATTATTCGAGGCCACACATTCATAAATGGCCTCATCTCGTGGAGTCCTTAAGGGCTGTATTCTGAGAACTGATCCAGATCCATCATCAAATTCTATTACCTATTAAAGGAAACAATAGCTGTCACAGGTGTTGTTATAATCATCTACCTCTCAGCTAAACTTCTCAGTGTGGTAGGAAGCCAGCCATTAGGCTCTGAGTAGACCAAGCGTCATTCTAAGAGAGCACTGAATTCTAATAGAGTTGTAGAGCAGAACATTTGAGGGAATATATATAACTTGTACCAAACAAAAGAAAGATAAAACTACAAATACACAAGGACAAATTTCTAATCTTCAATAAAAACAAAATGATGATTTTTTCTCATTAGCATATCTAATACTTAGTAACTACAGAGTACACCATATTGTGAAGGATTTGGAAAGACCTGTGCTTATGTGGACCCATTTAATACTTAGAATATAAAATGAAAACTTCTAGGCAGCATGAATTACTTTTGTCATAAATTATTTTAGTATTTGTTCCAGATTAGTGTTTTTTGCAATTTTAGGGCCTTCTTGCCATGTAATGGAGGCTTGCATCACCAGGTCCAAACTCAATGATGAAGTAAGAACCCTAAATACATTGTCATTGTGACTTCCACTGTGACACAGAAGACCAACACTGGTGACATGGCACTAACAACAGGTAAAAGAACCAGAAGAAGATGTGCAAACCATGACAATGGTATGTATGGGTGGCAGTTAGGGGCACCACCCTTCTGTCACATGCTCTGCTTGGTGGGACACTGCTTTTGTGGGATCTCCATATGCCTTGATTATAAATAAACTGAGACTTTCTAACAAGTTCAGTTATGAGTGGCTTAATCCCAGTTTATGTGTACATGCTTTAGCATACAGAGGAAGCAGTTTACTTTACTTCCTTTATGCATTCCATTTTAATTGTAAATTCAGAGACACTCAATTTCTCAAAACACCACTATATATTTTCACTTCTATTGAGTGCACATTTAAAAATGAATCTAGTATATATCTCAGAGAAAAAAGGTCTAGTTATAATAATCTTTCTCAAACATCCCACAATTTTATGTAAAATAATTTATGAGTCTCCTATATTTCAATATAAGAAAATGTATAAAGATCATTAATAAAAATTTCAATTAATCTTATATTAAATATTGCATATTCATATTCCTTAACCATTTTGTATACTGAAACAATTCTACATTGTTATGTATTAAAAGCCAGTGTTCTAAATCCCACTTTGGATGACTAATATGTACCAACCAATGAACCAATGTATGCTTACCATGCAACATTTGGCATCATCAGAAGCAGCAGTAAAACCAGTTTCACCTACCATTCACATAGCCATGCAAGGGGTATGAGTGATATATGTGTGTGCATGCGTACATATATGTGTGTAACAACTTGTTAAGTCCAAGACACAGGACCACTTCATGTAGCTGCTTCATATAAAAATAATTTCCCCTGAACTTGTTTATATGAGTCTCATTAACAAGTATGAACAAAGAAGATCTCATGCCTTGAAATATATTCTTCTATCATTTATTTTTATAAGATTTATTTAGGATATCACAGTTAACAACAAGCATATCAAAGACCACTCATCTTGACAAAAAATACATTTTTAACTATAAAAAGGGAAAAAAATTCATATCTCCCAAATTCACACTCACAATACATCAAGGAAGTTCCTTAAAGATATTTTAAGACAAGATAAAACCACTGTATCTTAAACTCCAATACATAAAAAAATTAAATTTTTGTCTAAATTTTAAAATTTATGTCAAAGGTTTAAATTTACATACTATCACTAATGATAATTTTATGAATGTGAATTCCTCATCCTGCTATAATGTGAATGAAGATGACACACCGGGTGTTTAGTTGTGATATTTATTTTCACCACAGATTGCTGTCAATTTTCCAAACAATGAATTAGGTCATGAAATCTATTAGAAAAATCAGACAAAAAGGAATTGAGTTGTTATAATTCATGATAGTCTAGGCGACTTGGTGTCCCCTATAAATCACAGTACACTCTGTGTCTTCATTTGTAAATGTGATCTGTTTCTAAATGAAAAGATTTCTAAGCCACACACTTTTTCCCAAGCACTCTGGAGGAAAGTCTGAAATGATTTAGCATCATTGAGAACTTTTTCTTGAAGGAAGAAAAAAGTCTCCAACAGATTCCCTGCATCATTAGTCCGTCAGGCCTTTTCTTTCACATGGTTCTTTATACCAAAACACTAAAGTGAAAGTTTTATTCTAGCCCACAAGACTAATAAAGTTGATACTTGTTGTTCTTAATCTAATCTCTTGCCTTTTGGTAAAACAGACTGAAATCCCTTTTCAGGAAAACAATACTGTACTTAAACTATAGGATTGGCTACAATTGACCCCACTCCCAACAACAAAGGTACAATCTGTTTAGCATAAAATAGTTGACAACATCTACCCATCAATAGAGAGGGCTCAGACTCAGGATACCTGGGGAGAATAGGAATTTCTAAAAAGATACACATGTTCATGCAGTTTCTAACTGGAAAAGTGAGGACATGGGATTCAATGTTGCAATCTTTTTTTTTTTTCTTTAAATTAGAATCAATTTTATTTTATATATCAATCCCAGTTCCCTCTCCCTCCCATTCTTTCATGCTCCCCACCAACCCCCATCCCATTGTTCTTCTGCTCCATAGAAAGGGTGAGGCCTTCTATGGGGGATGATCAAAGTCTGTCACATAATTTGGGGCAGGGCCTAAGCCCTCCCCCCATGTGTCTAGGCTGAGAGAGTATCCCTCTGTGGGGTGTGGGCTCCCAAATCTATTCATACACAAGGTATAAATGTTGTCCCATTACCAGGGGCCCCATAGACTGCTCAAGCCTCCTAACAGTCGCCCACATGCAGGGGTCCTGGTTCTGTCCTATGCTGGTTTCCAACTATGTTGCATTCTTAAAAGGATGCATCCTGAAGATGAGATTAACAGGTAGATCCTAGACTGTTGTAGACCCTTTACTCGCAATCGAAACCAAAATCTCTGGCATGTGCTCTACAAAGTCAAATCCCCAGACTCTAACTAAATCCTTACAAAAATGGATATAAAATTCAGCCACAGCAACTATTCTGTTTTAAAAAGACATTGAGTTATAGTGCTCAATGCAGGTGAAATAACTATCACACCTCATTGCTTATGACACCTCATATCAGAGCAGAGAATAAATAGATGTGTTCTTCCCCAGAGAAACAGAACAATGGACCTAATACCTCAAATCTCTGGTTGCTGACTTTCTTTCCTTTTTTGTTCCAGACAATTTTAGGTCTTGGTTCCCCTGTAGCTTGACAAATGAAAGATGCAACTCCACCAGAGACCCCTGTCTGATCAACTGGAGTTCTTGTAAACCTGGGAGGTGCTGAAATAAGAAGAAATAAACACCACAATTAGTGTGAATATAGAAATACATTGCCCAACTAGACAGTTCCCTTCACAGTACACAACCTCACCCACTATATCAGTACGGGAAGGTTAAAAGATGAGGCAAGCACCTTGTGCTTTTCAGGGTAACTTTGTGTTCAAGTTCTATTATCTATCTGTTAGCACTTTCATTGCTGAAACCTGTATTAAGGCACAGATCCAATAACATCCAAAAAGCAACCTCACACATTAATTTTTATTACCAGTATTTAAAAATCCAATTTGTCCTCTGCAACAAAAAGCTCATCAATCAAAGTGAGTAAAATCCCAGCGCATTGCTTTGATGTCACTATCAGGACGCTGCCAGAAAGCAGCACTGCCACTCATTGCCAGGCTATTAAAATTAGTGACATTTAAGAGAAATTCCAGGAAATTTTAAAGAGACAAGAAATATAGCCTGGAATTAGAAGGCACAGCAGGAACCAGGAAGAGAGAATGGCATGGCAACGTTCACACATTGTCTTGTTACTTAGCTCTTCATTTCATGAAAAAGAATGGAGGAGAAACCTCCCAAGATACAGGGAAAAGAGGCTTTTTAGGAAACACCCACTGATGATCAGTAAAGATAAAAGAATGGAAAATGCAGTTCAGTGTCTCCATTTCCATGAAAACATTCAGCAGTCACACTTCTCTTCATCCTGGAAAACACTTCTTCCCTATTCTATATTTCATATCTAAAAACCATCACAAAGTGGTGACATACATAAGATGTAGATGATTATTTATTTACATAAATATTCATTGAATAACCTGATTAGCAGAATCTAATTATGTTAAAAATGATTATAACATACAGATGGGATATTACATATGTGGAAACTATCTTATTGTATGGTATGAGAAACACTTTTGAGCCATGAAAAGCCACAAATACACAATACAAGATTATATCTGAGAAATACCTGATAAGAAAACACATAAAGGTATGCAAAGTATATGAAAGCATTAATGATGGTGGTTTGTGAAGCCATTATTTAATTGTTTTTTCTATGACTTCCTATCTTTGCTACACACCTGTAAAATATTTAAAAGATTCTATTTTTATTTATTTGTGGATATATAATATCTGTTTTGTGTGGGTGCATGTGTGTGCAGTATCTGAAGAGATCAGGACAGGGCATCAGATGGGCTAGAGCTGGACTTACAGGTTCTTGGCCATCAGACATGGGTGATTGGAACTGCAGTAGAAGAGCTTCTGACTGCTGAGCTATCTAGGCTTGTCCTTATTTGAGATATGTAATGGTTATATTTGGAAAATATTTTAAAGTCAAAAACGTTTTACTTTTCCATTTTCATTTATTTTCTTTGAATCTGTTACAGACTTTGTCACACACTGTTCTTCAAAACATTAACTTTGAGTATAATCTTCAAATTCTGGTGCAGAAGGAAACAATGGCAACACTGTGTCCTCTTTGTTTACTGCTATCATGAAACTCTGCCCTCAGTCCTGGTTCTACCTGATGTTTTTGCAACACCATAACCTGTTCTGACTCAGTTTATCTCTCCTCAGACAGGAAAACTAGATATCTATCTGAGGTCCACTGTTATTTGACAAATGATGATGATAGATAAGTAGGTAAGGAAATAGATGATAGATAGATAGATAGATAGATAGATAGATAGATAGATAGATAGATAGATAACATACAGAGGCATTGGAGGAGAAAAATCATAGTTTTACTCTTTCTTAAATGTCAAGATATGTGACAGATTTTCAAATATTACCACAATTTTGAGGTTTCCTATCTAATTACATGATTACATAAATGCAGGAGTACAGGAGAAGGGAACAAGAAAAGCATCTTTACAAGCTATTCATAGGAAGTGACTCTTCTCATGATCAAATTTAGCTTTTGATACCAGAAGCATGTTTGTGTTCAGAAAAGTTAGGAATGAAATGGCTCTCCCACTGTTCACTATCACATGCTGTCGCATCATGGGTAGTAATACAAACACTCTAATTCCTATAAACAAGGGGGAACACTTTACAAGATTTGAAATTGACTAACAATGAGAGGGATTAAAAAGAAAACTAATGATGACACTTTTTCTGAAAACAAACAACAGTATAACACGTTTTCTTATTTTGCTTTCCACTTTTTCAAGCAATGTAAATTGATAATAAATACTCCCTTGACAGTATCTAAAAAAACAAATTAATAAAGATAAAAATGATCTAATCTATAAAACATAATTAATAAAGAAAAGAAAACTTCTAGTGACTATCTTTGAGAAATAAAGCCCATTGCTTTGCTATGTTAAATGTCATAATACTGTCAATTTTGAGTCCCTTTAATTTCCTGTCTATATTTCAAAATTGACCAGGCTGAATTAAAATTCATTTATATTGTTTTGAAATTTCTCGCAAGAGTATAAGAAAGAATTGAAGGCCACTGGATGAGATGACAACACACACACACACACACACACACACACACACACACACACACACACAAACTGTATATTTAATAACCCTAAAAATGCTGTGGGTTCCCCAGCACTGGAAGCCTTTGTAAAGGGATGCTATTCTGTTTCTATTTCCAAAGAATGAAGGAAAGTTTCAGGATTCACACAATTTGCAAGGAATATTTGCCACATGGACAAAGGCTACAGTTATCCACACTTTCCAAACCATAAAATGAATAAATGTAATTGTTCTATGATAGGAAGCAATAGATGCTACTGATAATATTTTTAGTAGGCATGTGTATCATATAAATAATTGCTCTGGCTGGACCAATTCTGAGACTGATACTGCCCATTCTTGGCAGAGAGCCACTAGAAGATATGTAATAGAGAGCTAAATTATATGATGCCTATAATATTAGGGGAAAGTGAAAATTTTCATCCTCAGAGGGCATAACAACATGAATCATGAATCTCCCATCTACCCTGGCAAAGGATGAAAAGAACTAGATGGACTTGCTATCGTATTATGGTGTACATTCTTCGCAAATAATATTCATGCTTTGGAAAAGGGAAGAGAAGTATACAATTAAAAGTTTAAATCAAAATTTGACTAAAACCCCTCCTACAAAGATATCACAAAGAAGCCCATTACAAATGATGACAAAACACACAATGGTTAGTATAAATCTATGTAATGAAGGGTTCGAAATTAATTCTGTGAAATATAAATATCAATGTATACTTAGCCTGAAGAAAAGAAGAAAAACATATGCCAAGAATATAAAGAGGAAGACAAATAAAGCAATGTCAGTTTCCATTACATGCCTAATGCAGCTAGCTGGCGGCCATTGCTCCTCACATAAAATTATCAAGACTGCTTTAAGCAAGGTATTTTACTCAGGTAGATTTTGACAAGTGAAAAATGTTATAATCACACATACACACACACACACACACACTCACACACGGAGTAAAGTAACCAAGACTAGAAAATTATCTTGGCCATCTATAAGACAAACTTGTCTCTTAAATACAGTTTGTTAGTTAGAACTGGACAATAGAGGACAAATCAATTGAAGAAATATCAGTATCTAAGGAAGAAGAGTACAGGAGAAATTCTTAAAATTTAATATATTTGATATAATTTTGTGGGTCAACTGTGACTCACTTAAAATAAGACCATAGAGAGGAGAACACGTTATAAAGTGAAGGGAGAAACGTGGTGCCATTTGTCTAATTTAACTCTAATTAATATGATGTTTCTGTGGACATCAAGGAAATACGTCTCACAGGGAAAAACAATAACCAGCATGTAACTAATTGGCTTCGTTTCTTCTCACTGATTATCATTTCCTTAAATAGAGAGTTTTGATTTTAAAGGGATAGTAGTCATAACATTGTATTCAAGATCTTGAAATGAGAAAGTTAATAATGCTGTTGTATGATACCAAAGGAGAGAGAGAAAGAAAATATTCAGTACGAAGATATTGAAACTGCTTCCTCCCCTACAGCAAACCTTTAGGTTGAGATATCTCAGACCTGACCCTTCAGATAGCAAGGCAGGAACTTTAAAGAACATATCAGGAACAGGGTACCTGCAACAACTGGATGGGAAATGAAAGTATAAGAATGTAGTTCAAGGAAGTGCGAAGGCCAAATCAGGCTTTACCTTCTCTTTGAGCCAGAACACCTCTTATTGGCACTGATGGGAACATGGAGAGTGACAAGAGGTTGTGTGCATGCTGTTATGAAAACCTTGATTTTCACTGGGCAGAAGTGTAGGGAAGAGACAATGATAAAACCAACTGTCCACATGAAGAAAGATGGAAGTCTCCAAGGTGATGTGTACCTAAGGAGGATAGAGACCATAGAGCACAGCTGTGATCTGTATAGTTCTCCCCACCTGTGTTCTGTTAACTGCCTAATGAAGGTTTGCCTCACCTTTCCCATGGCTGGATACACTGTATCTGAACAGTCTCTCTAGTATATCCATGGCCAACCCAGGTCTTCAACATCAAACAGACTGTGTATGAATTATTTATCCTATCTCCATTTTAATAGGATTCCCTAAACAACATCTTAGTTTTAAATTTTGATTTAAAGGATAGAACCCTCCAGAGTGAATTAAATGCATATTCTTTTTTTAAAAATCTTTTTAAATTAAAAACAATCTTATTTTATACACCAATCCCAGTTCCCTCTCCCATCCTCCCAATCCCCCCACCATCTCCCATCAACTCCTCTGAGAGAGTGAGGCCTCCCATGGGGAAATCATAAAGTCTGTCACATCATTCGTAGCAGGACCAAGGCCCTCCCCCCTGTATTTAGACTGAAAGAGTATCCCTTCATAAGGAATGGTTCCCAAAGCCAGTTCCTGCACTAGAGATAAACACTGGTTCCACTGCCAGAGGCCCCAAACTGACACCCACGTTCAGGGCATAGTTCGATCTTATGCAGGTTCCCCAGCTGTCAATCAGGAGTCTGTGAGATCCCACTTGCTCAGGTCAGCTGTTTCAGTGGGTTTCCCCA